ATAAAGAAGGAATGATAGAATAAGATTACCATCTTTACAATCAACGAATTAAATGATCTCAGCAATGATCATCACTTTTTAAGACACAATTTTAAAAAAGAAAACAACCAGACATCTTGTGTCTTCCAAGGAATGGACACCACACCAATTAGACTCTTCTTGATCAAACAAGGGTTCACTTTTAGTCTGACTTCATTTTTCAGGAAATACGGGGATGGGAAAACAGTACTAACACTACTGTGATATCAATTGTCAAACTCTTCAGGAAAAATAACCCATTTCTTCAATAACAAATAGATGCCGATTCAATGAAAGAATAAAACCAAGTTTTCCTTCAAAGATCATGAAGAAGACAAAGATGTCCCCTCTCATCACTTCTTTTCTACAGTGTACTGGAGGTCATAGCCAATGCAGTAAGATAAGAAAAGGAAATCAAAGGTAAACTGAACAAGAGGGAAGAAATAAATCTAAACCAATTAACAAAAACACTTCTAGAACCAATAGACAATTTTAGCAAGGTTACAGATATAGGAATAATATGAAAGTCAGTCAATTTCCTACTTACTGGCAATGAATAAGTAGAATTTGAAATTAAAGATAGATTGCCATTTCTGTTAGCATCCCACAAAATGAAATACTTAGAGCACTTGGGTGGACCATGGGGAATTTTAGGGCTGTCAGACTTTTCTCACTATATATAATGGTGGATACATATTATCATACTTTTGTCTAAACCCACAGAATAAGCTACTCTAAGAGTGAACCCTAATGTAAATTATAGTGTTTGAATAATAATGATTGGTCAATGTAATCTCATCAGTTGTTAAAAAAAAGTGTGTGTGTATAACAATAATATATATTCCTATTTTTTCATTTTTATCTTATTATAAATAGTTATTAGGATGTTCTTATTCATTTATTGAACCCAGTTGTTCCAGATTTGGCTGCTGTGATCACTTTCATTTTGGTGTTGGACCTCAGTCAAGGAAATGAACATTTATTTTTCTGTGTTGGGGAGGAAACCTGGGGCCTTGCCTACGCTAGGCGAGTTCTCTCCCACCGGGCCACTTTCCCAGCCCCCAAGTGAAGTTCAGCAAGCAGACTTTGGGGTTTGCCTTTCTATGGCTCCTTTTCCTACAGTATGCCCTGCACCTCCACTTTCCACCTACTCTGCTGCTCCCCCACAGGTCCCCTGACTCCTCGAGCCAAGCCCGAGGAATGCACTCAGGGAAACGCTCCACAGACACAAAGCTCACCCGGTGCAGTTCCCAGGCTCAGTGTGGCCCTCCCTTCAGTTTCCCTTAGTCTTGGTGTCATTCCTCAGTGTCCCCATATCATAGCTTGTCCACATTTTGCAGTTGTTATCTGCAGGCTGGTTTTTGGAATGTATACTATTTCACAACATGGCACACTGCTTGATTGGATTCTAATTTTGTGATTTTATATATAAATAACTTGGGATGGTTGACATAGCATTCTTTGCAGCCTTATGGTTTTTACAACTAAGGATTTTGTTTTTAAATCCCATGGAAAGTTTTTAATTTGATGGATACTATCAGCAGATTCTGATATCACAGCTACCAGGCAGAGCACGATCTTTGTCTTCAAACACTTTAAAAAACAGAAAACTTAAGGGTTACAGAAGTGAGTTAAAAAAACATCATAGGAACTTACCAAAGTAGATAAAGTTAAAAAGACTAAAAATAATAAATTTGATAAAGATGTAAAGCAACAGAAATTTTCATGTTTTATTGGTTACCTCTTACTGAGTGAGAAATCACCCCCATTTAGCTCTAAATCTCACAGTTCTGTGGATTAGCAATGCAGTTGGGCTCAGCTGGGTGTCCCTGGGTTGGGACTGGGCTACTCATGGCTCTGTGCTCAGTTGGCATGTTAGCTAGGCAGCTCTGCTCCTGGCCGCTGACCGCACAGCTGTCCCGATCATCCAGAAGGCCAGCTCCTGCTTACGCACATAGTAACCGGGCAGGAGATGGAGAGTGCGGAAGACCTTTTAAGACCTTGGCCTAGAACTTACATGACTTCTTCCTCCCCTCTCCCCCTGTTCTGTGATTCAAACTGAGGATCTCGTGCATGCTGGGCAAGTGCTCTACCACCGAGCTGTATCCCCAGCCAACACAACTTCATAATATTTGTATGAGTCAAAGCCAACACAAGTCCAAGTCCAACCCATGGGCAAGAGGTGCAGAAATACTCTTCATTGTTTTCTGAGGATATGGAAAGTCAGGATGAGGGGGGTGTGTAAGTGGTGAAAGGTTGGAACCCTCTTTGTAAAACACCGTACAGAGTGCTTTAATTTGGATGTTAAGTTTCCCCCAGAGGCTCATGTGTTAAAGGCGTGGTCCTCAGTATGGTGCTGTTGAGGGTGGGGAAATCTTTAAGAGATGATGGAGCCTGTCATTGAGGTCATTGAGGTGGGGAGTGTCCTAAAGGGGATCATAGAGCCCTGACCACTTCCTCTTCCTCTCTTTCACCTCCTGGCCCTAAGGACAGCAGCTTTGCTCAGCTATCTGCTCCCACCATGATGTGGTGGCACAGGTCTTAACCAACCATGGACTGACACCTCTAAAATAAACCTTTTCTCTATGTAAGTTGATGGTATCAGGTAGTTGTTACAGTACTGTCATGGTTTGGGTTTGGAATGTTCGTCATGTGCTCATGTGTTGAAGCCTGGTCCCCATACAGCAATGTACAGAGGCGGTCTTTGGGGAAGTGACTGGATCCTGAGGGTTCTATCCTCACCTGTGGTTAATCCATCTGATGGATTGACAACGTGAAAGGACTGCTGAGAGGAGGTGGGAACCACAGGCAGGTGGGGCGTGGTTGAAGGAAGTAGGTCTCTGGGGGCACGCCCTTGAGACTGCATCTTGTCCTGGGACCCTCTTTCCTCTCTCCTCTCTCCCTCCCCCCACCCCTCTCTCTCTCTCCTTCCAGCTGCCATGTGCTGAGCACCTGTGCTGCACCACTCCCTTCTGCCATGATGTCCTGCCTCACCCAAGTCCAAAGCAGTGGAGCAGCTGACCCTGGACTGAGCCCAACAGTCTTCCCTCCTTTGAGTCACGTGTGTCAGGTCTGTTGGTGACAGCAATGGAAAGCTGACTAACAGGGACAGAAAGATGACTGACAGAAACTGTGGCTTGCAAGTCAGCTACATCTTCCAACCAGGTGTTAACCAATCGTTCACTTTTCTCAAACATCCTCATGTTCGACATCCACCCTGTCATGGATTCCCAAATCCTGCCCAAAGACAATTCCAACAAATTTCGTGTAAAGGCCTTCATTGGCTTTATTTGTCGCTCTAGAATTAGGCAACACTCATTCGGTACAGCAAGAGTTCTGATGAGCTGAGCAGTCCTGGCTTTATACACAGGGTGGGGTTGGAGGGAACAGAAAGCACCCCCAGTGGACTGATTCTTTCACAGTGACTTTCTTGTAAGGTGGAAGACAGGGAGAAAGAACGACGGAAAATCCCTTCCATTTAGCTGTTCCTTAGTATCTAGTATTCTTTTTTGATACACAGGTAATCTTGTAAGTAACCCGTTTTCCAAAGTTATCTGAGCCAGACAAGGCGTGATGACAGAATCACAGCGGAGGAGGGGGCTGTGGGGATTGCTGATGTGTATCTGGGGGTTCAGAAGAACAGTGACTATCTGGGACTTTGACTGGTGTTTCATGGGACTGGGCCTCTATCCTGGAGGTGGGGGTGTCTCTGACATCTCTGGGCTTGTAAGTCAGATGCATCTATCAACCTGCATCAAAACTGAACTGAACTGAAACTTGGGAATTACTTGGCGTGAAAGGAACTCACCCCAGAAAACCAACCCAGACATCAGAAGTGCACAGAGCGGAGGAAACGGGAGTCTTCTTTGACTTTTTCAAGGGATTTTTCCCCTGTTGGCTCTGGGAAGCCAAGAGCTCACCCCTCCCCTCCCCGTCAGCTGAGGGGTGCCTTGGACAGAGCAGCCTGATCAGACCAGCAGAGCTGTGGTTAACTGGGTGGACGGTCCACACTCTCAATGCCCAGCTTAACTCTGGCAGTGTAGACCTGAATCCATAACCCCGGCAAGCGGGGAGATCACAAGAAAGGTCCCATAAAACTGTACTCTGACGTCCTAATTCCCAAAAACAAAGTTCTGGGGCTCCTCTCACATTTCGGCCTTCTCATTCCAACACAGAGTGTTCCTCTTAGTACCGTCTAAGGGTCTTTGAAGAGCGAAGGAATCACTTTAGAGGGCAGCTCTCCAGAAACTCAGAACTCTTCCCAGTGTGTTGGCCAAGAGCTGAATCCTGGGAGGTTTTTGTCCATATAAACAGCCTCTTCACTTGGGACAAATGCAGCCAGCTGGTTGGTTCCTGGGGGTTTAGGAAAAGCAGAGAGCTACACTCTGCTATTTTGGTTTTAAGGGACTGGTTATACGTGTGCAAGGAACAGTTCAGGGCTGGCATCTCTCAACTCCTGCTCTCAGACACCGAATCCAAGCCAGGGACTTGCTGATTGCTTAATAGCACCAAGAGCTCTCCATGCACGTCAAGGGCACTGTCAGGCTTCCGCTAATGGCTTTATTAACTTTTCAATTACTGAAGGCAAAAAGTGATTGTCCTCTCCAGCCCTTTGGGCGTCTTCTCTTTCGAGAGGCCCCAGCGTCTGTCTTCTGCCCAGCTCCCCTCCTTCTGCTGTGGGGCCATCTAGAGCTGCACTGGAAATCTGATCTCTGGCTGTTCTGCTCTGCTTGCTTTGGAGCTGCATCAAGTGGGGGCAGGATGGGAGGCCCTGCTTGTAGGCTGAACATGTCAGGCACACCCCCCTGACCTTTCATCCAGCACAGCGGCTCTGATAAGTGGGCAGGCCTTGTGCCTGGAGACCCACAGACACACTTGGATGATTCCTACAGAAATCAGTTAAGCAATCTCCTTCCAGAGGCCCAGAGCCCCATTCTGGATGTGAGCCACTGGACGGACGCTGCCTCGCCAGTGCCACAATCATGGCCAACGGGACAAACACATCCTCCCCGTACTACAGCTATGAATACTACCTGGACTACCTGGACCTCATTCCTGTAGACGAGAAGAAGCTGAAAGCCAACAAACGTGAGTCGAAACTGGGAAAGGAGGCCAGGCAGAGGCTGGGGGTCCACTGGGAACTCCTGCTTTTTTTCTTCTTATTTACTCTAGCAGATGTCAGGGTAAGCAGCAGTGGGACCAGTGCACACATAGACACAATGAATGGGAGTCAAATTGTGTTTGTAATCTTCTGTAACAAGTTTGTAGTGTTAATCTGCCGCAAAATCAAGAATTTTTTTTTTTTTGGTGGGGGAGGGTACCAGGGATTGAACTCAGGGGCCCTTGACCACTGAGCCACAGCCCCAGCCTTATTTTCTATTTTATTTAGATACAGGGTCTCACTAAGTTGCTTAGCACCTCACTTTTGCTGAGGCTGGCTTTGAACTCTCAATCCTCCTACCTCCCCTCAGCCTCCCAAGCTGCTGAGGTTGCAGGTATGCGCCACCGCACACAGCCACAATATTCTGTTAAGACAGATTCCTTGATCAAGTTTCATTTGTCTGGGGTTCTAATAATCTCAGTGAGTTTCTTCAAATTGCAGCTTGCTTTTTCCATTGTCTCTATTTAGATTTGGGAGAGGTCTTCTCTCTACCTCTAAGATATATGATGTAATTCCTGGGGAAATGCAAACTGGTATATAATCTTCATGGTCTCAGGGAGGATAAACGTGAGTTAACATTCTTTGCTTTTCTCCTGGGTAACTTGGCACTTTGTGGACAATCTGATCTGTCCAGCTACTCAATCAAGATAACAAAGTCAGCCAAGGAAATGAGAATAAGAAACAAAACCCAGGAACAGGGAGTCCACAGAAGGAAACCTGCGCTCTGCCTATCCAGTCAGAAACCTCGGGTTCCTTGGCTATTTCCCACAGTACAATCACGTTGTATCTGTCTCGAAAAGTAAATGAAGTCACCAAGCTTATAGGAAAGCCAAACAAATTAACCTCCAAAGAAATCTTTCTTAAAACAGTTTTCTTCAGAAGTCTCAGTGTCTTAGATCAGTTCCAACTTGACTAGAGGGTCACAGAGGCAAACCCTAGGATGGAGGAGAGCTTTGAACCCACAGAGACTTGCTCCTCTAGGAATTATGAATTACCTCCTGTGTAGGTCTCCGGTGCCTCAGTCTTGGTGTCTAATCTGAACTTAATTTCTATTTTTTTTTTTAGAAAAAGAAATGATGGGTTAGACAAAAATACCTCCCACAAGAATGCTTAAACCCTGAATAGGTCACTGTTGCATTTTGTCCTGGGGCCCAGGCCAGAAGATGGAAGTCCCCAGAAGGGGGTCACCTGGTCTCCAGGCCAGTTAGCTGGGATCTGCATCTTAGCCCCTCGCCAGCTGCGTGGCCTTGGGCGGGAACATGACTAAGGCTGGCCAGATTCAAGAGGAGAGAATCAGGTTCCATCTGTCAAGGGAAGAAGTGTTGAAATTCTGAGACAGTCTCTAATTCCCTTGGGGTGGGGAGACAATGGGATAGGGCAGGTTTTCAACTCTCTCTGTAACGTTTTAATTCTGGGTTTTTTTGTTTGTTTGTTTGTCTGTTTTTTGAAGCATCTGGATCAAATATGGCAACATGTTTAAGGGATACATAGATGTTGTCATTTTCTTCTATATTTTATCTATGTCTGAAATATTGTATTATTCAATTTTTTGAGATATATTTTTCAAGGTTAATAGGCTCTTAGTAAAAGATTCATACAATAAAACACTTTACCCTAACATTGAGGGGAAAAAAAAAACAACAATGTTAACATTTCCATGCCAACTAGGGTATGTCTGTGTCCCTGTCCCCCTGTGAACATGTATGCACACACACTCGTCACACACTCGCTCGCTCACACACTTGCTCGCTCACACACTCCTGCTCTACACACTGTGTCTAATAGCTTCGTTCCAGACACTCCTGAGGGAAAGCCCAGAACTTTCCCGCATCAGCCCTCTCCTCCCAGAGCCTGTCTGTGACTGCATCAGGCAGGGGGCCCTGTGCATGGGCAAGGGCCGTCCTTGCTGTCAGCTGGGGAGGACAGGACCTTGAGTTTGTAGAAAGCTATGCTGTCTGCTAGTGATGACAGCTTTATGCTCTGGGTGGTTTGAAAGAGTTTAAATATTTTGATGCAGTCCATTTTGACAGAAACCATTTTTCTTTGGGTGGGGGGGTGTTCAGGGGTTAAACTCAGGGGCACTCAACCACTGAGCCACACCCCCAGCCCTATTTTGTATTTTATTTAGAGACAGCGTCTCACTGAGTTGCTTAGAGCCTCGCTTTTGCTGAGGCTGGCTTTGAACTCACAATCCTCCTGCCTCAGCCTCCCAAGCCTCTGGGACTGAGACCCTCTTCTTGACTGAGGGATTACACATAATGTGAGACTTATCATCCCAACTACTCGGGAGTCCAGCTCAGCAGCAGCAGGTACCCTCACATTAGTGCACACCGTGGCCGCTGACCATCTCCAGAAAGCCATCCTTTCCCAAACTGAAACTTGGTACCTGTTAAACCTCCCCTGTCCCTGGCCACTGCCACCCTACTTTTGTCCCTGTGGATTTGACCATGCCAGGGACCTGTTGTGACTTACTGTTTGTGCATCTCTGACTCACATTGATGCCCCACTCCCCAGTGCAGTGGGATTTGGAGTCAGTGTCCTTGGGAGTGATTAGGTCATGAAGTGGAGCTCTCAAGAGGGGACTAGTGTCCTTGTAAAAGACCGGGGGGATCTCTTTCTCTCTCTCTCCTTCTCTCCCCCACCCACACTACGGGGGAACGTAACCAGAAGAGTCCTTACCAGGCACTGTCCACATTGATCTTGGACTTCCCACCTTCTGGAACTATGAGAAGTGAATTTCTATTATTTAAGCCACCCAGACGGTGGCGTTTTAGTCACAGAGTCCACACTAACCGAGACAGGCCCTTATAAGTGGAAACATAGGCTGTTGTCCTTTGTGACTGGCTTTTCTCACCTGGCATAATTCACGGTAACAAGGACCGCCCTTGCAGCAGGCCATGTTTCCCATTTGTATCAAAAGGAAAGACATTTTGAAAATAAACCACTTACAGCAGTCACCACCACAAACGTCACCTTGAGCTCAGTCGTGTGTGGACACCAGACACACACACACCCCCGCAGCAGGGTGCTGTAAAGCAGGCTGGCTGGTCTTCAGCGGGGACCATTCGTGGTGGCAGAGGGGATGGGGAATCCCCTAACCACAGGAACAGTAGCCACAGAGACTTGGCCACCAGAGCGATGAACTGGCATGGGAGCTCGCGTGGACCTCTCTGGCCGTCTTATCAGCTGTTCTGCTGCCACAGTTCACCTGCTTAGCCGGGGCTGGTGCCTCCTCCCCCAGCGCCTTTCCTCCTCAGCCTTGTCCAAATGAACAGGACCCGACCCCTTTGGCCTCTGGCCACCAGCCAGTCCCTCCACCCTGGTTGCCAAACGCCTGCCCCCTCCCCAGCTCTCCTTCTCTGGGTCCCTGTGGTCAGGCTGGGCACCGTCGTCGTCTTCTGGAACTGTCTCTTCAGAAAACGTCAATCCGCAACTCTCACAGGCTGTGTCCCTGTCCCCACCCCGGCCTGTGACTCTCGTCTTCATTTCCATCTCCATCTTCTCTCCTCGGTTGTTGGGGTCCAAAGGCTTGGGTCCTCCCCAGATCCACGTGTTCAAACCCCCAACAGGATGTGATGGCGTCAGGAGGCAGGGCCTTTGGAAGGTGACCAGGTCATGAGGGAGGGGACATCGTGAGCGGGATTGTGTCTGTATAAAGGGATGAAGAGTCAGGAGTTCCCCCTTCCACCAAAGGCACGTTCTCCCCCACACCCTCCTCCTCCAGCCACACCCTGCCCACCCTCAGCTGCCACTCACTGGATCCATGAGGGGTCAAGGCTCTCACAACCCAATCCCTTCACGCCAAACCTTCTTGCCCTGTCTCATTCATGAGCTTTTGGGGGACACCTCACATCCAAGCCATAACAGCCACCCAGTTTGTGCAATTTGGTGTAGAAGCGCAAACAGACCACACCGGCCCACTGGCCCTTGAATGTACGCTGGGCTGTCCTGGTTGTACCACAGCAGGTTCCTCCTCCTGGGCACCTAGGCACCTGGAAACTGTCTCCTAATTCTGCTCTTTCTCTCCAAGCCGCCCAAACACGATCAGCTGCCCAAACCTGCGTCTTAGAGAAGGTTAGAAAATGTCCTGACTCTGGGCACCTAGCTAATCACAGCCACCCAGCTGGTGGCCCTCGAGCACGGCGGGCCCAGGTCCTCAGTGTCACTGTATAGGCTCAGCTGTTGGCCCTTGGCCTTTCCCTGTCTCTGCCTTCCCCAATGAGCCTAAGCCCCCTCTTACTTGGGGCATTCCCTCTGAAACTTGGACTTATAACTTTAGTTTCCCATTCTCTCCAATGAAACCCACTTCCTCACCACACCAGAAACGCACGGTAGTTTTTCCTACCTTTTTACCTTTGTTCACGTTTAATTCAACCATCAAAAAAATCTGCTAGACATTGCGCCGGGAGCTGGTGGTACAAGAGAAAAATAAATTCATGCCCTGGATTTTTTCGTTAGCTTAATTTTGTTCCTCTCACTTACTTTTTGATTACGTATTTCCACGTAGATCATCATGACATTCCTCTGCCAAATGCTTCATTAGGAAACCATAAGAAAATGATATTAGTACACCTGCAGCATTTCAGTGATTATTTCTTAGTGTCACTTACTACTCAGCTGTTACAGTTTGGATCTTGAATGTCACCCAAAGGGCCGTGTGTTGAAGGCTTGGTTTCCAGTCTGTGGCATTAGTGGGAGGTGGTAGAATCGTTAGGAATTGGGGTCTAGTGGAAGAAAGTTAGGTTACTGGGGACATCCTCTTGAAAGAGATACTGGGAGCCTGGCCCTTTCTTGTCTTTATCTTTGCTTCTCAGCTGTTCCATCATGTGTTCCTGACACACTGCACTGTGCTGCCACAGGCCTACAGCAACAGAGCCAAGCAACCAAATATTAAAACATCTGAAATTGTCAGCTAATACAAACCTTT